GTTGACAGTCCAAAATGTACCTCCAGTATTTCAACCGAGGCTTTCCAATTGTCTATGTTTGTTAGACTTGTTGAATAAAATTCCAGAGGCCTTCTCCAGAATTCCTCACTTGCCTCTTCATCATCCCACAATTCAGGCATTGACCTTGCGGAAGGACCTGTCTCCTGCGGAGGCTTTGGATCACATTTTTCTTCTGTGACCAGGCGGCTGGGAGTGGATACAGCTTGACTGTAACTTTTCTTGAAATAAGCAGGGTGATTGGTTGACTCAGAAATCCTTGAAACATTTTCAAATTCCCTGTTGTTTCTGTAGGCAGGGCGGGTCTGCTCAATAATCCTTGGGTCTTCTTGAGGTTTTTTGTCAAAGACTGGTGCCTCCTTGACCTGTTCAGTGTTGGAAGGGGCAGTTGTCTTCATTGACAAAGGCTTTGGTGTTGGAGTCTGGAATTTTGTAGCTGTCTGAACATTTGTTTCTGTCTCATTAGAGTAATTTTTCAAAGGCCTACAAAAGTAATCGATATCTAGCTCTTCATCTGGCATACGGGAGAAGAAGTGATCTAATGCCTTTATGGAACTTGTCTTTTTAGGTCTCACTGAAGGACCATTAAACTCCTCTGACTCATCCGGGATATCGGCATAGAAGTGAACACTTGGTTTTGTTTCTTCAGGCCCAGAAATGGAAGGTTCCTGAGCTTTCTCGTCATTGGTCAGAATCTCTCTTCTGCTTGGCTCCATTTGGATGAGAAGACCTTGTAACCGTATAGTTTCCTTTTTTCTCCTGTTTTTACCTGTAGGAGTTGGAATCTCACTTGAAGAGTCAACCACTTCAGTCTCAGGAATTGGTGATAAGGCCTGTGTTACTGGAGCCTTTTTGTTCTGCTCATGATTTGACACATATGGTCTGTCTACCATACCAGGAGATAATTTCTGGTTTCTTCTCTTTTTAGCGTTTTTGCCCATCTTGCTACTTTACAAGATTCTTTCGCTCTGTCCTGTGCTGTGAGTTTGCCTGTAGCTCTGTGTCCTCTGTGTGTGGTGAAGTCAAAGACTTGTGTCTTGTGGCCACCTCATCTGAATATGTTCTGCTGATTACATCATAAAGATATGACACAACCACATTCTGGTTGCCATGGAAACGTTTGTCATAGCAACAGTGAACATAGAATGGGAAAATAGCGGTGTTAATACATTCCTAATGCATGCAATTGTATTTGTCCATATTAATGCTTTTATTATTCGGGTCATCATTGTTGCCAGCCCTCAAAAATGTGGTCTTTGATGAGAAAAGAGTAAAGGGACATTGAGACCGACACACATAAATGTATGTGGTCAGTCGTTTTTCTAATACTGAGCAATGCACATAAATAAGAAAAAATATTATTTTCTTGTTTATGTATAGTTTTTTTTTTTCACAGTCCTTCAAAAATGACCCCATTCCATATCCATCGCGATATATATCGTTATCGTTTTATTGCCCTGCCCTAGAATTTATTATTATTTTTTGCTACTACTGTTTTGCATTGATTTTGTATTTCCTGTACCAACAGCTGGAGTGCCTAACTTTAGTTTTCAATCAGGTCTTGGTAGTGAAATAGGAAATCCTTTCTAAGGTCTGATTTATTCAAACATGTTACATTAAGTACACTCTTTGTTGGGACAATTTACAGTATTTGTGAAACAATAGAAAACACCATGGGTACCAGTGTGTTTTTTTCTGGTATCAGTATTTCACTTTACCAAAAATTTCACTAATAATGATGTACTGCTTTCTTTTAAACCCACATACTTACTTTACAGATAAACCCACAACATAAAAACAGTGTTAAGTGGTTAGCCACTGGTTTAGTTGAAGTTATTCATTGTTGTTTGCTGTAAGCATTTGTTAATGAATATGAAATCACTGTAAATGAGTTGTTCATGTGAACTAGCTTTACATATACTTAGATAAGCATAAGTTAATGAGGAACAGTCCCCACTTTATAATACTGTTTGGAAAAAGAGTTAGTAATGATTAGTAAACTTGAATGTACACTCCATTACTATGAGAAGCTATAACTAATGATTTGTACATGATTTGTTAACATGAGCATTCTATTGCCCTGACATATTATAATAATCATTTTACATTGATTATATAATGTCATGATTTATAATTAAATGTCAATAAAACATTGAAAATGTATTTGTAGATTTTCTGTTCATGATATGAATACTTAGTATCAACTCATTTTTAAGTCATTTACTATGTAGATCATGAGTAATTTACTTTTATTTTGATGTTGATGAATATTTAACGTATCACCTAATCATTGTTCATTTGCTGGAAACACTTAGGTAATGAGTAGTAAATGTGAATTTAAATATCATGAATGATTTATAAATCATTAGGTATTTATTATATATGAATTCATAAATGGGTTGTTAATAATTAGTTCATGAGTAGTGCATGGTTATAATAGTGTTTACATGTGAATAATCAACATTTGATAATTAACTAACAACAGTTAGTAAATAATGTGTGAAACATTTATGAATCATTATAAACACTAAAATAAAACATTTCTTAATGAATACTATATTATTTGTTTTTTAGTAAGTAATGGTTTCCAAAACAGTTACAAATATCACTTGTTCATGACTTGTTAATGTTTAGATGATTATTTGTTTATAAGACATTTGTTAATGTTTCATTACTTAGTAGTCAATGATTACTTCACATTTATAAATGTTTTATAATCAAACAGTATTATAAAGTGTTACATGTATGAGCCTTTTACTCCATTAGAGCCTCTTTTTTTCTGAAGGTAGTGTTCATATTTAAAACAAATATGTGTAGACGGATGAAGCGGAAGAAGATGGAATGGAATGTGAAGACTTTATAATGTACTGTATGACCTGCTTCAGTGTCTCCTTGTTCTGTGGTGAGTGTAGCCCTGTTAGCCATAGCATGAGCCACATTAAGGCCAATGCACACCAGATCGATCAAGACAATACTCACTGGACCTGTTCGAGCCAACCCCGCCGTTGAAGAACTATGTCAAAAGAAACATTGATGTGTGAGAGTGTGAGTGAAACATAAACCACAGGTACCACAAGCTTCAGTAACATTAGGCACAGGCAGATTTAACGCATCAAAATAGATTCCAATGGATTGTACGAATAAATCCAGTTTGTTCTAAGAAAAAGAACGATGTGGGATCCAGATTGTTATCATTACTTTTGTGCAAGTGGTGTCAGTAGTTGTACACAGATTGTTTTGTGTTTCTTTCTGCCATTTGACGCTGATTGCATACATGGCAGTATAACTTGTAGGACACAGTTGGGGATCAGCTAAAAGAGAAGATTTTTTTCAAGTATATGAGTGTTTGGTCTTCCCTTTGGTCTCTGGAGGAGGATAGATCTGACTAAAGCGTTGCCAGTCACTGCAGCAGATGCGCCCTCACTCCTCCTCACACTTCCGTCAGATGGCAGGTGTGCATTAGTGCATCCTGGGCGGGCTATGCGCCCTCCAGAATGTGTGTCAGGACAACAGGCAAGCATGCATGTGGATGAAGGAGAATTATTTGGTATTTTCCCACCCACAGAAAAATGTATACTGCGCATTTTATAAATGAGTATAAAAAAATGAATGTGAAAAAAAAATTGGCATGACTCAAATTATTAAAAATAATGGATTAAAAAAACAATGTAATGTAAGAAATCAATTGAAACGTTAAAATGTGGTGAGCGGCCCAGGTCTGACAGTGTCAGGATTATGTGAGAAAAAATCCAAGTGTTTATATGTATTTTTTTAAAGTGCAGTGACTCTTTTTTCTACTTGCAAAATTATTGTACTAACGGGTTGGAACCTGTGGGTAGAACGCAATAAACTTTTTATGAAATAATGTGCACTTCATATAAACTTTTTAAGAAGTAACCCTATTTTTACTTTTACTCTGAACAAAATGTAGACTTTTTAAAGATACAAGATTTAGGAAATCGCTTTCCCAAAGTGGGTTGGAATCTTGCAATTAGATATTTTGGTAAAATTATGTTTGTGTATTGTAGGGTATACATACCGGCTTATTCACACTAAAGGGTACAAAAGTGTGACCGAAGGCCAAAAATTAGATTTTAATAATCAGAAGATATATTATATTTTTCATTTATCCAAATACCTCTTCTGTCCATTTAGAGCTAGAATAATAATAATTAAATATATGTTTTATACACTACTCAAGTTTCCTATAGCGACTGTAACGGACGCGATCCTTTGACAGAAGGATCATTCTGTCAAAGGATCATGTCCACCTATTTTCAGATGAAAAAATGTCTTTCTTTGTTTCAGAGTTGAAACAAAGTGATTACCTCCATATTGTATAATGATTAAATGTAAAACCAGGTCTATAGGTCCAGGATGGGGCTTAGGGCATAGTTACTCCACAGAGTTCACAGATTTGCTCTGGCGGCTCATAGTCCAGATATTTCCTGTTTTTATGTGTATGTTTTTAATTAACGGCTCTTGGCTGTTTTAATGCGTTGATGCTTATTGATTACTGCCTTGGGTTTATGATGGCCATGCACATAGTGGCTCATTCCATAAAATGTAAAGGTCCTTGTAATTGGTTCTTTCTAAAGAGATGCAGGTTAAAGATGTATATTCATCCTTGTCTCAGGCATTAATCTCCTCTTAATTCATAGATAAATGTGGCTCTTAGACAAACCACGTCTTCTCTGTGTGTCACACCCATGGTTGTGTTTTATATTTCCCCTGGGAAATTAATAGTACAGTGTGTTTTTGGATCAGATAGAGATTAAATGTCAGGCCTATTATAAATCCATTAACAAAGTCATTAGTCCGAGATCTCAAGAACGACTGAGAAAGAGGCTCTAATTTTAGTACAATGTAAGTTATATAAAATGATATACAGAGTTATGAGGGGGATACTGTTTCCTGTGGTAAGTGTGAAAAGTATATTTTTTGGTGCATCTTGTAATACATTAGTTGTGGCTGTTTTACAGAAACTGGTGAAACAAGCTGAAAGGCTTCAAATGGATCACAAATGGAGTCTGGAAACCGAGGTGAGACCACCAGGCTATTTTAATTTGACTTTTATATACAATGTATTGACAAATATTGAGATGACTAACTAGAGTAGGGAGTAATAGACACAGTGTTACTTTGATCAATTAATATAGTTAAAATCAAAAGAATTCAAGTTGCATCCATATTTAATTAAATAGCTTTGTTCTCTTATGATTCACATGAGTTTTTAAACAAGATTATCATAATTCCATGCATCTCTGATCAATGGTTTATGAAATACAATCAAAGTGTGATATTGACTTATTTCGTTCATTTAACAAATACACCTACAGCAAAAATAGGTGTGTGAACTGTGGCATATGAGAAAAGTGAAGCTCCCCTTGGTATGCTGAGAACAAAAAAGTACAGAAAGACTTTTTAAAATCACATTTCCTATTCTGCAATTAGCAATAATCAGAAGCAGAGACACACAAAGCCCACAGCAGCAGCGTCAGTCCTGCATGGTCATGACACATGCAGGTCAAACAATCACTTCCAGCTGTGGTCCTGTGGCACTGTCCTCTGTGCTCTGATTCAATGGGAAAGAGAGTTTATGAATAGATAGCCTAAAGCCTAATACAAAGTCAGATTTGGACGAGTTTATCATATCTTCCTGCACACTTTTTAGGATGATGTTAATGAATATTAAATGAAATGCATTTTTCATCAAGACAAACCACATATTTCTTTTTTTTATTAATTTGTTTTATTTCCTTCCTTTAATCATTTATCGTATACAGTATACAGCTGGATCAGAGAACAGGTTAAAAAATACCACACTCACGCTTCCTTTTGGAGCGTAGACGGTAGAAGGAGTGGACTGAACAATTGGTGACATCACTCTAATGTTTTCCTTATTGCAGAAGAAGTACGATAAGAACTAGAAAAAAACAGGTTTTATCAGCGGGAATATGGAGCCACATTTATGCATCTGACTTGGAAGAAAGTTAAAGTACCACTATTGTGGACATGGGTCATCACAACATTTGTTGGTTTTTATTTAGCTTTAACAAAGTGGATGCCCACTTTCCACTAGAGTTAGCTGTAAAATCGTTGCTGAGGAATAACAATGTAATTCACTGTAATGTATTTTGTGTTAAGTTTTTATGAATTGAATTGTTCAAATGAAGCTGGCTGTGTTAACATAAATTGTTTCCATTACAGGGTGACGATATTGTTTACTACAATTCCAAAGATGATGTAAGTATTGCATTGTTTATTCTCAGTTGCAAACATATTAGAACACCTTTCAATGTAATAAATTCACAATTTGTGGGGGTGCCAGTTCTGCAGGTGTAATCTGTGAACAGAGGATCACTAGCTCCTATCTCAGCTGAGCATATTTTGTGTCCCTAGATAAGACACAGCTTAATAATGCGACTGGCTGCTCCAATGTGAGATAATACGAAATGTCATGCAATCCATTCTCTGTGGCAACCAATCATTCCATGAAATGCATAAAGTCTACAGATGTTTTGATTTGGTTCCATTGATATAGGATTAGAACAGGCTTACTGTATGTCTCTCACAGTTTGACTAACACACTCAATCAACGGCTCACTCCAGTAATGAACTCTGTTTCTCAGTATGTTTATTTAATGATTACTCAACAAAGTGCTGTCTTTCTCCCTCTGTAGCTCAATCAAACAGACATGAAGAATCGCTATGTCCCTGATGACTTCCACGTTGACCCCGACTTTAAGCGACTGGTCTCCTACAACACCACAGCCGTTCACATCCCAACAGACATATACGAAGGCTGTAAGTTAACTCATAGATGTGCACTGCAAACCCCTCACAGGTTGTCTCACACTTGTGGAAGTAACCCCTGCCCTTCTGTCCGTCTCTATCTGCTCCTGTCAACACAATGTCATGTACAGTAAAGTCGCATGATGCTGCTCGGCCTCGGAGCACAGCTCCACACTTCAGCCGGGCCACTTTGCTCTATTTTTAGTCCAGCTCCTCCTCTATGCCCCTGCCACCAGCTGCCTCAGTCCATTCTATCCTGAACACTAGGACATTTGTAATATTTGTCACTGTTTTATTCATATTTTTAAGTTAAAATAGCAACACAATTAACAATTTAATATAATTGCATTGAGTGTTTTCCTGAACAAGGACACTTGCTCACTGGCTTGGGGTCATAAGTGCCTTATTGTTGGAAGTGCAGGGGGAGGAGACATTCAGAATGTTGTGACCAACTGTACGGTCAACTGCTCAGAAACAAAACATCAAACTCAATAAAATAAAGATTTATAGGAAAACATACACAACAGATTCCTCAGTTTGACATCATAGTAATAAATAACCTAAAAATGTCAGTGTGAGTCTCCCAAAAGCAGTTGTTGCATGATATCTGCGCAGTAACAGCAATGTCACTCCACATAAGTTGCACTATAAATGTGCAGAATGATGGGCCTCCGAGGCTTTTGACTGTGCACACATTTTTGTCATGGCCAAATGGCCAAATGTGAGATGTTATTTTTACAGGCTGCAGCAGTTATAATGATGTTAGCTGCAAGAGGAGGGGCTGAGGTGTTAGAACAGGATTGTTTCTCCTGTGAGTCATCAGACAGACTTCTTATCTCAGCAAATGTTTTTGCGGATTCTGTTTGTAGCTAAGAATCAACACGATTGGAACAGCATGATATCAGGCTTATGATAATAACAACATAAATGTAGGGCTGGGTGATATGGCAAAAAAATAAAATCTCGATTTTATTTCCTGCTTTGGACGATTTCGATTTAAAATAGATTTTCCTTAAAGTCACCGAAGACATACTTTGCCCTTAAAAATATGTTTTGATCTTTCCGCTCAATATTCAAGTTTCAAGTTTGTTTCCCCAATACGAATTATAAAAGTCTTGTACAGACTGTGCTGATATTGAAAGTATAATTCATCTGCTGCTGGGACTCTCACAAAATCCTTCATTCGATTTAACGATTTTCACCTTTTTCATAAATACGATATTTTCAAAAGCCGATTAATTGCCTAAATTTGATTTATGGCCCAGCCCTACATAAATCTGTGGATTTTATTTGTGATTACAGTTGAATATGGCACGATGATTTTGACAAGTGAAATGAATATCTCGCATAAGAATGTTCTTAGATATGTAGTCATGTCTTTAGTGTTTTATTTTGCTCTGTTGCAAATGTGGTTGTGATGGATAATGTGTAATAAGGAACATTTCTGTCTTAGTCAAAGAACAGAGTATCAATTCAACCATTCAAGTTGCCATAGTAATGTCTATCCTGGCCGGTGAGTGTGTGCAAATAGGGCCCACTCTTCGCCACACCCGAGTGCTGTGTGGGAAAGCGCTGGTAACTTGATTAGGGGACTTTGTCTAGACAAGACTGGCGTCCTTGGGCCTTTTACTGATGCTCAAGGAGAGATGTGTCATCCACATCCTCTGCTTTAATTGAAGTAGATTTTCAAGACAACATGTCTTGTTCTCACACACTGTCCTTGAGAGGTTTTATAAATCATTTAAATGATTGAAAGTTACCTGCCATTGTGTGGCCATTGAGTTGCCATCCCCAATGGCATTGTATTGTTATTGTGGTTGCCATTTCCCTATAAATTTTACATGACTGTAAATATAGTGAAGATTAGATTGAGCTAATTATAAATATAAATTGATGGTTTAGTTGAGTCCAAATTCATCATATTGATTGTCTTGATAGTTTACCTGTTCTAATAGAATCCCAGTTCATGTGGGATATGACATATTTATTGTATTTTCAATATATATAATGTGTCTTTTAACATATTACTTATTATGACTTTTTTACAATCGGAAAAATATGTTTAAAAAAATGCATCAACAATAAATTTGAAGTGGTTTGATTCAAAGAAACTAGTCTGTATGCCTTCACGTCAACAAGGAAAAAGATTTGAGCTGCACGAGTAGGTGTGTGATCTTCCCACCGCATGCACTTACAGCACTGAATATGGATCTGAGGGTTGTGTGCATGTCTCCTTGCTCATTACACAGATTGGGATGGATGTGCAGACTGGAGGAGAGAAGAGAGTGTGTTGGCTATGGCAGAAGACCTTAGTCTGATGGCTGTTTGCATGAACCCTGTGTGGCACCTGTCAGTGTGAGACATGCACATGCAGAGAAGTGCTCAGATACCCTGACACCCCGCACCAATGTTGAACCCTGTGGCAAAACACTTTTTTGGTTCCAGTGCAGCCATATCCTGTTAGGTTTACATTCGTGTCTGCCAAAGTGGTGTCCCTCCTTCACCTCTTGCTGAGATAATGGAGTCACAGTCCTCTTCATCTGCCTTCTTGTCTTGGGTTGGATGGTTTCCCAAGAACAGATAGATGACTGAGATTTGCAAAGTATTCCTAATCACTGCATCTCTCTGCTATCTGTGCCTTTGTCTCCTTGAAGTATCAGTATCAGTATCAGTATTCACACTTTAGACATTCACACAGCTCCAAACCCTCAAGGAATGAAAATGTGTGTGTGCGTCCTGGCGTGTTTTATTATTTTCATTTTCATTACAATTTGACAGCTTTTAGTTTTGGAAGTGTAATTACTCAGCAAATGTACATGTTTGGTCTTCATAATTTTATTACTACATGTAATTTATTCCGACCACATTTTTTTTTGTAATAAATGTATCTGTTATTTTTGAAACAAGATCAGTTAATTGCCATAGTTACACTATTTTCACTATTTTTCAAGTTATACAGGTATTCACCGGTCTTTTCTCTTAGTAAAAGTAAGTTAGGGTAAAAATAAAAACCTGCTGGAAAATTGAACCTTTTGGGTGAATTTCTCAGAACTTCATTTGTTTGAATGGGAGCAGTCAAAATGACGGCTCTGGGAGTTCTGGTGTTAAGACATATTGAAGAGCTCAGTTGCGTCTGTTCTCTTAACTTGTATTACGACAATTCAGTCCCTGCGTGCTACTAGGATTATTTTGTATGTAGTGATTTAAATATGTGATTTAAAAGTGAATGGTACTGTGTGTTGGTGTATTTGTGGCATTGGTGTATGGCTCCCCCTTCTGTCCTCCTTTTTCTTTCCACCTGGGGTAAAGTTGATAAATCTCCAGAAAACACACCTCCTTCCGTTGAGTGGAGCGTTGATGAGAACTTCTCCAGTCTTCTGCACTTCTTGTCATGGTTTAGGTTTATTTCCTGTTTTATTTTGTAATTTGTTGACCCCTGTGTCTTCTTTAGTTGTACTTCCTGTAAGTGCTTTTTTTTACTCTTGGATAACTCCCTTTTGGTCCAAAATATGTGTTCCTGTTTTTAAAGCTTATAGCCTCACTCACTGATCATTTGACCTGATTCAGCAGGATACTGTGCTATGAAAGAACTTTCTGGCACCTTTTAGTTTCACACGTGCAGCACTAGCACTAGAATATATTGTTCATTTTTCAATAAAGATGTGTGTTTGTGTGAAAGTGGTGTTTTGTAATGATAGTAATATAGGCTACGTCACGTTACCTTATTAATTTCTGTCAATGATGTCAGTGTACAAGTGTAATCCATTAATGGTCTTCTTCAGAGAGCAAAAGGAATAGAAACTTGTCTCTATTCCTCATTGGCTCAAGCTCTTCTCTAACACACTACCTCTAGGAACCATTGAACGCTTGTCCATATGTGTTCCTTATGTCGGTGCATAAGGAACAAGGGCGCAGTTATACTTATTCCCTTGTAACTATTTTTTCGTCTGTTACACTCACCAACAAATCCATATATTTTGACAGAATAACTCTTCCTGAAATCATTTCTGTGTGTATTTTTAGCCACCATCATTTTAAATGAGCTGAACTGGACTCAAGGTTTGGAAGATGTATTCCGGAAAAACAAAGAGGAGGATCCATCCTTACTCTGGCAGGTTTTTGGCTCCGCCACTGGATTACTGAGATATTTTCCAGGTAAGAAGCAGAATTTGCAGTACAACAAGGCTAATACTAAAAAAAAGCAATTAAGATTTGATTCTAATTTGTCTCAGTTTTACATTACCCATTCCAACACACTTGCAGCATCTCCGTGGATTGACTTGGGCAACGCAGCCTCTAAGATTGACCTTTACGATGTGCGCAGGCGTCCATGGTGAGTCTGAACTATATTAATGTTTTATTAATAATTAATGTTCTTGGTTTAGTGTAAATCAAATAAACAAGCTATAGTTAAGTACTACAGTACAACTTAACTAACAAAGATGTTAAATGTAAGACCAGAGCGTGCAGTGCCCTGTGATCAGGCCAGAGCAGATCAAAGTGAGCCACACAAAGACTTCAGTAGTCTCCGAAAACTGATTAACATGTGGCTCTCCGCCAGCAATGGTCCTTTACCCGCATTATCAGATTCCATTATGCTCAAAAGCTTTGCAAGCTACAAAGCTTCAACCTGAACAAAGTAAAACACTGAGAACTGATTAAAAATAAAAGGCTGTGATTGCTTCATTTAAATGATTCCTAATGTGCACGTGCAGCGGTGATCAGTGCTGGGTGTAAGTTTACTGTAAATAGACTAGATAAAGTAATAGTGTAGTGTGACATTAATTTCAAAATACTTAGATTACAGTTTTTAACAATCTTCATACTAGATAACAATTGATTTTAAATTGTTGGAATTACAAACACTGTTGTGCCTTAAGTGACAACCCTTATCAGCAGCAGGAGCAGTGATGTGTCTACTGTTGTCTCATATGTACATTTTAGCAGGTTCAAATACATCAAATGTCCTTAACTGCTATGTAAACATATGCATGAAACATGATGGCACTGATGATTCATTTAAATTAAGTGATGTTTCTTATTCATGCAGTAACAAAAGACTGATGCTTTGTAATCTGTTTAATGACTCATGTCAAGCGCTTTGAATGACTTTGGTCTGTAAAATGCGCTATATAAATAACCATTACTTTCTTACTTACTCATGTGGATATACTCCTCTACTCTAGGTACATCCAAGGAGCATCCTCACCAAAGGACATGCTCATTCTGGTGGACGCGTGAGTGACCAATTCATTTCTTACCCTAAAATTAGTGATGTAAAGTCGTTCCAACCACAAATACTGTTTCTTACTGGCTTGAAATCTGCTTTAAAGTAAATAGGTTTCTAAATACCCAAACCTTGTTTCTGAAATCCAGGAGTGGCAGCGTGTCCGGTCTCACTCTGAAGCTGATCCGACAGTCTGTCAACAGGATGTTGGAGACACTCTCAGACGACGACTATGTCAATGTGATCTATGTAAGTGGAACTGTTCAATCCTGTGCCACCTTTACAATGTCCTCTATAATAACACCAAGAGCAATAGCTTTGAGTTGTGTTTTTATATACTTCATTCATCAAGAATTTCCTCATGTGAAAAAGAGAAAATTCAACCAAAAAGTCGTGCAGACATCAGCAAACCAAGCTCCACGTCTTTTTTTATTCAGATACAAACTGCACAGGTCACAATAACTGTACAAATGATACATGAAGGAGCAATGTACTCCAGCACAGCGGCTGAGTGGTAAGCACTTTCTCGCAAAACAAGGTGGGGTTTGATTCCACCTCCAGACAGGGCTTTTCTCCATAGGATTCCTCCGGTCACTATGTACTGTACTACAATAGCTCCCCTCATTCTGGAAAAGAGATTCTGAAATCTCAGTAGGACTAATATACAAATTGGGAATATACAAAAGTGTATAATGTAAACCAACAAAATATTTAAAAATAAATAAATAAAAGACAATGAGTATTAGTAAGACTATTAGTAATGTAGACATCATACAGTATCTTTAACCATAGCTGTGAATGTATGCTGTACATACACATCTTCATTCTGTTCCAGTTTGTGTGCTCAATATCGCACAAGTATCAACAGAGCCGCATTCTCAAAGGAGCAGTCCTATATATTGCTGAAAATTGGACAAATTATGTATGAAATATGATTTATATTACTCCACCAACACCAACCACGCTAAAAAGAGTGTCTACTGATGTTCTTCATGTTTCGCCAGTCTAAAATTGCAATCAATCTATTAAAAAAAACTTGTTTTGGGTATGAAATGGCAAAAAGGAAATGGAAACTCGAATATGCATGTCCTTCTACCATCACATCACATCTGCAAAACAAATTTCACCTCAATCCGTCCAACACACACAGATAATTACAATACCTCTCCTGGTGGCAGGGTAATTATAACTGCTATCAACTACTGAGCCATGCAGATGAAAAAAAAAAAACAATTCTAAACTGTCATTTCTTCCACCGTGTACCTCTTTACCAAACGGTGTGTTCTGTGCACTGCTTTCCAATCTGCGAAATGATATTGCTTTCAAAGTTGAGCTGCTTATGAACGACTTGACAGGTTTGCTCAGTGCAGCCCTCTTGTGGTGCCTTGAATACAACACATGTATTCTTACACTTTTAAATGATCAAACAAGACTAACTACTTACTAATACTCTAATTGTAATGAGATATTTGCAGACAATAAAAGGAAAGATCGAAAGAGATGCCAAGAGTTCCTTGTTTTTCAAATTTAATCAAAAGATGAACTCAATCCCACCCAATTTATTTCATTTCATTTTTAGTATGTATCTTATGTATATAATGTTTAGTATTGTTTTTTGTTTTTTTAGCATGTAGTGGTCCGATTTGTTTACAATTTCATCATCTTAACGAACACTGTGAGGGCAATATATATATATATATATATATAATCTTTATTCCGGACTCAAGGTCCATACAAGAGACAACACAAGGACACCACAAGACACAGAAACATAAAAAATAAAATAGCAAAGTCTAAGGACTCATTTACAAAGACACTTGTACCAGTGTTCCCAGAACTGAGAAATATAGCGTGTTGTGCAATACTAATTACCACACAAAAATACATGCCTTTGCTGTTATTGTTTGTCCTAAAAATAAAAATTGTCCAAACTCGCAGTGAACAGGATTGCATCATGGCTAATATCATCTACCGTATGTTTTTACGTAGCTGTTTCCATGAAGAATGTTCCTGTGTGGTTTTGACTTGTGATTTGCTATATCTAAATGTACATTGTGTGTCTGTACGCACATCTTAAATTGCACTAACTGTACAATCACCTTTTATACCCTGCTCTCCTTGTACTGATCCTTGTGTCTTGAAGCTTCCTTTGGTGTGTACATCGCAGATAGCATGCATTTGTTGTTGTTATTGTCATATTTATATAAGTGTACAAAGAGAAAACCACATATTTGATTGAAATATGTGCCAGTCTGGTGCCTTCCCTGTTCTCTTCCCTTTACCCTGGTTCCCCTTTCCTTTAGTTCAATGAGAAGGCCCAGGATGCAGCGTGTTTCTCCAACCTGGTCCAAGCCAACGTGCGCAACAAGCGGATCCTCAAAGACGCAGTGCAGGGCATCGCAGCCAAGGGAATCACCAACTACAAAGGAGGGTTTGAACTGGCCTTCCAGCAGCTCGCTCAGGTAAGTGTCAAGGCCAAGGTCTTGGTTTTCTATAGAAGCAGTGAACATAGAAATCTAAAATACATGTAGATCATCCAAGAGTTCAAAGTGAGGACATACTGCCCTCCCCTGGTCATGTTTGAGATTACATATTTCTCCAAAATCCCTTATTTTGGAAACTCTGCTTTTCCCTGTGTGACCACTCGTTAGTGGAACATGCTGCCCACAGAGCTGATGGCAAGCACACATTCTTACATGTTCTCACACCTTTTAAAGAACTGGTTATTATCAAACCAAACTTGCACTCATGTGTAGCGTGTATTTGTGAGCGAGAGAGAGACCAGTATAAATGAGCGATATGAATGTGAGGTTTCAACAAATTGTGCACATGAAGACTTGTATTTTGACCAAATGTAACATCCATGAATGTCTGTTATTTTTAATGTAATATCATAACAACAGCCCAGGGACTACGGGTGGAAATTAGCTCTTGAGCTATAACCTGGTACAGTGCATCTTTCCCTTTGAGATAAATGTTGATTGTCCCTGTCAATAACTAAACTCAACTAAACACTGCTCACAGGGTTAAGATGTATATTCTTTTCTTTTCCTGTAGATGAACATCTCCAGAGCCCATTGCAACAAAATAATTATGCTTTTCACGGATGGAGGAGAAGAGCGTGCTGAAGAGGTTTTTAAGGAGTATAATTCCAAACAAGCGGTATGAATGTGCTTTGTTGTTGGACATGCCATCTGTGTTCATTCCTTTCATTTATTTTACTATTTTTTTTACCATTTAAGGTTCGCATCTTTACATTTTCAGTTGGTCAACATAACTATGACAAGGGACCAGTCCAGTGGATGGCGTGTGCTAACAAAGGTACAATACAGCAGTGTATGAATTAACCTGAGTTTAGTGTTAATTGAAAAAAGGAACGATCTCTACAGTATGTGAATGTCAGCTGAGAAACACAAGTGGAGATGTTACTGAATAGTAATTAATAATGAAGCAGTATTTCAGTTAACAGTGAGTAGATTTTGAGACAGCCATATGTATTATGAAGATTAAAACTACCCTTATAATCTCTTAAAATCATAAGAATGCGGACAAGAAGAGAAGGTCTGCATTTCGGTTTGTGGAACGAGATTGTGGATATCATAGTAAAAGAATGTTGTAATATTTTTCAAAAACTAAATATATTATCAGAGTGAATGCATTAAATGGATGTGTGTGTTTTGCGCACACATGAGGAAATGATACAACTCTGCATGTGTGGATGGTTGCCTTTGCAGCCACATTATGCAATCTATACACGATCATGGATATTTCTTTCAAGTTTTATTTGTAATTAATAGTAAACAACTTGGAAGGTGAAAAGTCATTTGAAAAAAGAGGTGGGATTAAATATGTTTCTACCTCTCTCCACCTCTTTCCATTCTTACTGTTTTATTTTTGTATACTTCTTATGTTAGATTTAACATTATTATTCATTTAGTTTGGTGCTTTTGTTATGTATTAATATGGAGGATTTAACACATTATTTTGTAATCTACTTTTTATAGAGCCCTTAACACAAATATATTTCTTTCTCTTTCCCAGGATACTACTATGAAATTCCCTCAATAGGAGCAATCAGACTAAACACCCAGGTAAGATTGTATTTTATTCATTTTTAAAATATTTGCAGACAGCTCCCTCTTGTGGACAATGTCTCACCTACACTACTTTTCTCTTTTCATAGGAGTACCTGGATGTTCTCGGACGGCCCATGGTTAAGGCAGACAAAAGGGCAAAGCAAGTTCAATGGACCAACGTCTACCTGGATGCGCTGGTATGTAGACCATTTACAAGTCACGGAAATGTATGAATATGTTTTTTTGCCAATAAACCTTCATACATCACAACACTTTTTTTTTCTTCTCACTGTGGGGATATATTTTGCACATTACAGAACAGTAGGAATAAAGCAGTACTCAAACAAGATAAATGACATAATAATACAAACAACTGTAATGTAATATAAACAGAGGAACATGATGATTGATTAGAAAGAGATAAACTACATTGGAACAAATATTGAAAGCTGGTCTGCGCTCTTATCTGCATTTACTATGACTATGATGTGGAGAGGACTGTCTGGGGACTGAGTCGAGGTCAGTCCATTAATTTAAGAAGCCAAAACAGTGTCACTGTTTAACTTTGTCCTGTTGTTCTAAAATATAAGGTTATTTTTGTATCTACTTTTTGAGCTTTTAAGCAAATGTCATGCACCACTAAGTTTCTGCTCTTAAAGTTTAGTTTAGTGCTCATAAAATCTGTGGTTTGGTAATTTCTCAAGTGAAATGACGTTCTTCACAATCACATGTCTGTTATGGTAGCTGGCAATTTCCAAATGTGGAGGGGAAAAAAAACAAGCACAAATTGGATGCCTCCCTCTGGTGGTAGCATACGGAGTTACGGGCAGAGAGCATTTCTTACTCTTCATAATAATATAATGTTAAATCTTTATTCCAGACTCGAGGTCCATATAAAAGACAATACAAAGACACCACAAAACACAAACAAATAGAACAACAACAACAAAGAACTGAGATGTATCGAGTGTTGCGAGCTATTTTTACTTGTTTCACTCTATGTTTTCTCCTTAATATATGATTTCACATTCTAAAACATCAAATGACATGTCTGTGTCAACAAGCATGCATCACAGTTATTTCCTTCATGTTTCTACGCTCTTAGTTTAAAAATGGGTTTTGTGTTATGTTGCAGGAGCTCGGCCTTGTCATCACAGGGACCATGCCTGTGTTCAACAAGACCAGCACAGGCTCAAAGGTGCACACACTCATATGTTTTTTCACTTAACCTCAATTACTTTTTGAGCCTTTGAGTTTCCCCTCTGTGACATAAACGGCTTCCCCTCCCCTCTGCTCAGTCACGCTGTCTCTATCTGTCCGTCGCATCAATCTTCTCTATGCTTCACTGCTTGACAACATTTACTGGCACATTGGACCTTAAGACAAAGTTACAAGTCAGCGTTTTTTTTTTTGGAGATGCCATAACTTGTAGCAGAAAAACTGAACAGAAACGATGAATTACCATACCGTTTTTATACAGCAGTTATTATTATTATTGTGTTATATCCATTGTAGGACCTGGGAAACGGTCTGTGGTTCTCAAGTGGAATGGTATTGAGATTTACCATGGACATTTAGTCGTCGCCCAAATTATTAGAATTTAGTTTAAAAAATGTCAAATACTGCATATTTCCCCAAACTTCCGTAGCCGTGGTACACCGTTTTCAAGTTTCAAGCAAAAACTGATACACACATGAAACTTTATTAACAATGCAAATCAATCAAAGTGTATTATATAGAAAATCAAACAAGTGCAAACAAATCTTTCTAATCTTTTTTTACTAATAACGTGATATTGGATCATTTTCCAAGGCACACCAAACAATATCTCAAGTTTCACAAACATGCCACTGGTTGAAAGACACTGAAAAACAGTTTATTTCCAAAAAATCTTGTTTTATAAACATTGGATTTTATGGCAAAGCTGTGTGTAAAACTCCAACAGACTCTGAGCTCAATGCAACAAATAGTAAATCACCTTCAAATATGTATGTGCATTTGTCTGTGAGTAAAGTCACTAATTTCAAGAAATGAGCCATTGTGGAAAGTTATTTTGAGATTTATTTTTATTTCTGTTATTTATACAAAAACCCGCATTTGGGACAACATTCTTAAGGTTACTTTAGAACAGGGGTCGGGAACCCAAAATGTTCAAAGAGCCATAATTGACAAAAAAACTAAAAACAACATCTGTCTGGAGCCGCAAAAAAATAACAGCCTTGTATAAGGTTTTTATGAAGTTAACACAGGCTGCAAGATGTATTAGCTATATTAGCCTAATATCTAAATGACAAAGTAAAGGCTACAAATACATAATAATCATTCATGATTATCAAATGTGTATTTTCACTGCAGCGTGTCGCACCACGCGTGTAGTGAATGATGCAACACGGGACAACTCTGCTTTAGTTTAACTTCCATTTTTTTGCCTTCATGCAATTGTAGAAATACAGTAAATCAATCTGCTTTGGGCTCAGAGGTCACATACCTGCATCACTGTCTGCTCATATCCATCACGTCACAGGCTGAAGTTTGCTGGAGCTGAATTAAAATCCTTAATGGCCTTTTCTTTCACCGTCTTTGAGAAGGTTTTGAAGTCTGAAAAAAGGGTGCTCTGAATTTTTGATGAATGAATCCTTCACGTAATCACCGTTTACGTCGTTTTGCGCGTCATCGTTCCTCGTGTTGCAACAAAACTTTTCATTACAAACATGAAGCAGTCCTTCCTCATTGACTGAAAGAAAATGTTCATTCTTAGTCCAGTCTTGTTATCGACTCTTTCTCGTTTTAGCTTTGGGATACATGTGCACTTACAGTCTATCATGCACACACGCCGGTTTGTTTACAACAGCGGCCGCATGGGGCGGAGCCGCGTGACCGCGCGTCATAGGATATGACGCACTACGTTGACAGAAATGTTGAAATTAGATATTACTTATACATATTTTTACAGCATTTAAAAACGTAAAGATTGTTTTTCCTTCTACAGAAACCACATTTAAACTAGAAATAAAATATAGCCCTCACACTCCATTTTCAGACATTTTTTAAAAGGCTCCAGGAGCCACTCCAGCAGCACTCAAGAGCCGCATGCGGCTCCGGAGCCGCGGGTTGCCGACCCCTGCTTTAGAAGGAAAGAGAGTGGTCGTTGCAATGGGTGGAGGGAGAAGTGGAAAGCCTGGTGCTCTTCAGAATCAGAACAGACATGAAGGCGTAGAAAGAGAGGAAATATTACTTATATTACTTCTCTATTCTTAAATCAACAGCATGTTACTAGTCTCTTGAGTTTTTTGGGGGCTTTTTGCATTGGAGTAGATACTTATTTGAAACATTTTGTCCAGGAAAGGCTCGCTCAAAATGATCCTTCGTGCCACCAGTTGACACAAGAACCACAGCCCCCAATACCTCCCGTGTGCATTAACAGGAAGAGGAACTAGGATGTCCAAGTAAAAATGGATGCGATCAAACCTGCAAACCACAAAGACAAATGATCCGGTAGCTAAGCAGTTCAAGATGAGTTTTCATGTCAACCTCGAAGGAGTGGGGGGTTCTCGGCCTGTGACTGAAGTGAGAGTGGAAATGCCTCGTCTCTGAGTCATGGCAGCGTGTAAAGCTTTTGGGAATGAGACTGTCCAGATTTCAAATGTTGTCTGTTTCCTTGAAGTCATTCGGAGCATACGCCAGGGGACCTGACTCATCCAGAAAGAACAACAGAGATCTGAAGGCGGTCTTGAAGAACGATCACCTTCTTCTGACGCTGCTCTCACTTGTGTTTCAGAAATCACAAAACCAGCTCATCCTGGGAGTCGTGGCCGTTGACGTTTCCCTGGAGGATATCAAGCGCCTTACTCCTCGCTTTACTGTACGTGCATTTACATGAGTTTTTCACATTGTACAAGTTGTATGATTGTTGTTCAAAAAGCCACTAAGGGAATAAAAAAAACTGATAAATGATTAATAATAACCTATGGCTATATCAAGGTCAACTCTTTAGGTCACAAAGTAGTAGGATTGCTACATGAGCTCCTGGAACCAGAACACTTTCTATACAGTGCCTTGACTCCCAACAAAACATTTTTCTTAGATAATTTTTTTGTATTTACTTATATAGTCCTCTATAAACTCATATACAGTTCTGAACATTGTAAAGAGCTTCGGGTGACCTTGGTCTGTAAAAATTTGATATAAAAATAAAGATTACTTACTTTGGGGCTACACATTTTGTCTGTTTCACATTACATGTCTCAAAAAAAAGGGTTAGGGTTAAATCAATATGAGATCAAATGATATAGGGGCCATTTTATTTCCCCTTGGTAGAAAATACAATATATCAACAAATACACCCTATATTATAAAATCTTATAAAGAATAACTGTTTTTTTTTCCTTTTTCCTATAGTTTGGACCTAATGGTTACTACTTTGCTATCGACCCAAATGGTTATGTGCTGCTTCACCCAAATCTCCAGCCTCTGGTGCGTCATATTTGTCTTTTTTGTCGTTTTTGGATAATTTTAAAAGCCAATTGTATGTGTTGTTTTAATCTCTAAGCATAAACCATTGAAAATCTGGCTTATAATGAATGAAAGCCTTAAAAAACGGTACTGCTGTAATTGCTGGACTATAAGCCGCTACTTTTTGCAAGGTCTTGTATTGGGTCCATTTAAAACATTTGTCTATCAGCTTTGTTTTGTTCTGCATTAACCAACAGCCAACTGCGGTTTATATTTATTATGTTAGGTTTACGTACAGTTGCACTTAATAGTCCAGCAAGTACTGTAATCAGATGTTCTTCCACGCAGACTGCCAAGTTTGATGAACCTGTGACTCTGGACTTTCTTGATGCTGAGATGGAAAATGAAGTCAAAGTGGAGGTACAGTAGTATTTTAAACTGCAATGCTATAAATGTTCCACTTTGGAATGGTACATTTTGTAAGCCTGTTTACTTGTTTAACAGATGAGAAAAAACATGATCGATGGCAACAGAGGCAAATACACAATGACTACGTTCATCAAATCACAAGATGAGGTAATTATCTAACAACATGTACAGCTCTATACACACAATTATATATTATTTGCAGAAGAATATACAGCATTTAATACTTGCTCCTTATACGGCTTGTTTTTATGCTAGAATTTGAGATTTTATTTTATTTTATTTTATTTTAGTATAGCAATATTAGTCATTTATCTTGTGCTGTGTTCTACTGTTCTGTAACTTGTGATGCAACACTGAAATTTCCCCACTGTGCGACGAAAAGGATCTCTTCATCAAAACTTAAAGAGCCACATCTTCACAGCTTCCTCCCCACGTCAAAAAAGCTTATTTGTAGACCTGTTTCATGTATTTTATATTGCCTTTCTGTTCTTTGACTGTATTTAAAATTAGATCTAGTGTTTTTACGTACCCCCACTGGTGCTCCGTCTGTAAATGAAGTTCCTCACGGATGAATAAAGTTATTTGAATTGAATTGAATTGAATGAATCTTCATATTAATCTCTGTTTTGGTCGCGATGACTTTAAAATACTGCCCTTTTTTCATCCCTAACGTTTTCTGTGTTTCTTCAAAGCACTACATGGATGTCGGGAGGAGGACATACACGTACCATCCGGTGAAATCTACAGATTATAGGTAAATCTATAGACGCATCACTAATATATTGATGAATATATTGTGAACATGTCTGAACAAAAAAAAAAAACATGTGCATTCATTCAGCCTAGCCCTGGTCCTCCCTGAGTACAGTAAGCACTACATACGAGCTACAATCGGAGACACCATCACCCAAGCCAAATGTAAGTCTTTTAACATTTGTCTTTTATTTACACAGACAGTAGACAAATAGATCTGACTAGAAAATGACTGCTAATGTACTCCAGCAGCCCCATACTTACTCCCTACAAGCTTGAGAAATACTGCTCTGATGTTTTATATCAACTATTAGCACATATACATTCGGATTGACTTGATCCGCTCTCAGTTGTGGTGACGTTCAAAGCCGTGGACCCAGAGAGCAGGACGAGTTGCGTGGCTCTCCTGTTTCATAAGTGAAACTGTAAGATATTATGCATTCAAACCAAACTTCAGTATGGCCCCATTGTGCTTTCATGTCTCTGTTGAGCTGGGTCTGTTCTCGCTTGTAAAATATGCCATTGACTCATAGTGTTACTCAAAGGGCTGTTTTATCGTTTGCTGACTGCAGTGAAGATGGAGCCGTGATTGATTAGACCCCATTGCTCTGTCTGTCGGCTAGTTATACACCAGGGGTCTCTAACCTTTTGCGATTGGAGAGCTACTTTCATAAAGGAGCAATGGTAGAGAGCTACTCCTTTTTTAGCAGTTTTAAATAAGTAATCTTTATTTATACAGCGTCTTTCACAGACCAGAGTCACTAAGCGCTTTACAATTATTGTTTAGGGCGTTTATCCTCTCACTCCACACAGAGATGGGACCGAGTTAGCCATACAGAAGGTGCAGGTCAGACATATTGTGCACGCTTTTAGTGCTAGGCGAGACTGGAGCGCTCAGAGGAAACCGGAGCAGACACCAGGAGAACATGCAAACTCCACAAAGATTCCCGTTGTAATACAATTATAGTCTATATAATAACTACAGCCAATCATGGAAAACACACACGCACAATATAGTAAGTAAGTAAGTGATCTTTATTTATCGTGTATAGCGCATTTTTAAAGACCCAGGTCACTCAAAACGCTTTATAATATTCAGATATTCAGATGTTCAGAGTTCAGATAATGTTCCATTCACTCCACACATAGTGTTGACGGAAGCGTGAAAAAATATACCATCATATTGTACAGTATCCCTGCATGAATGAAAAGATTTAGAGTTAAAATGAGCAAGCAATGACTCAAAAGTGACTCATTCAGGATTATGTGTAAAATTCTTAAAAGGGCGATCTACTAGTAGCTAACAGGTATAGTAACAGGTTGGAGACCCCTGTTGTACACTATAAATACTTTTTGCATGATATTTCAAGACCTTAAGGAAATGTTTGAATTAGAATATCCACAACAAATACCTAAAAATGTGTTATATCTATTAATATGTAACGCATATTGCCTTCAGAAGCTCTGACTCATGGAAGGTTTCTGTCCAGAATCGGTTTGCAATATTCTTATTCAAGTCTGAATAAAATATAGATTTGAAAGGGGGTTGGCTGAATAAACTAATTATTTCACCCCAATCCCCTCAAGAAATCTGTGAAACTGTTGTATATCTTAAATATAAGATGCAGCGTGTCATATTTTAACCATAGACTGTAAATATTAACGGATGTAGTCATGCCTATATCCGCCGTTCAAACTAATGTTCCATCCCTTTTGGCTTCTATGGGATTTTTCATGCTTTAGCTGGCTCTAGCCCCATTCATTTAACGAGTGCCTTCTAAAGTCCACAGAGACTAAACCAGACTGGTCCCAAACAATTCCAGGACTCATTTTTACACAAAAAAGTTTCTGTCTCGGACCAACATTGCTCTGAATTATGAAATAATAAGTGAAATATATCATTAATATGCAGTAAAAAAGTGAATTGATAACTAAATTATTCAAAGGTAATAATTAATAGAATACTCTGTTACTAAAACACACAACTTAAAGGTCAAAAAAAGAGCTTTCCAACTACTTAATTTAGCATTACTATTGTTTCTTTGCCTGTTAACATATCCAACCTTTTACATCATCTATAGTTGACATAAGAAAACCACACACATACCAGGCGTTTCTTCTTACGCTTCTTTAATATTTTTTTTCCTGCGATAGCCACCGCACCAGGTTAGATTTGTAAGCACTTCTGAACAAAGAAAAGCACATGGCTACAATTACATCACAGACACGGCCACCAAGGAGGACGAAGAGTAGCCCGCGTCGTCATCTGCGCTGAAAGTGCAGGCGGCTGTAATGCAGTTGTCAACATAACGTGCCTGGTGCTATGTCAGAGCGCTGTTTGGCTTATGCAAAGCTGCTCTGTGGTTAATATTTCATCGTTTGATCAGATGTGCACATGACACTATAATGCAAATACATGACTGAAGTGGGTTAACTCCACGGATTTACTTTGTCACACAAGGAATTTTAATAAAAACGCTAAAATCACGTTTAAATGATCACTGAGCCCAGACCACATTACAGGCTCCCTTTTTGCCCCTGTCAGTGCTGTCTTCATGTACATCCAAAGGCCTCAAAAAACGTTTGAGATTGGGAGCAATATTTCTATTCATGGTTCGCTCTGTGAATAAAATATTGTGTCACCTTTGAACCCTGTGGTTACACCCTGTCTCTTCTCCCTTTCTTCCCCCTCTTGTCTTCACCTCCACTGGGACGACCCTCTCACCCTCTCTCTCTGCTGGGATTTTTTTTCCACTCCAGGGAAAAAGGGCAAGTATAATTTTTTTTCCCTCGCTTTCATCTCATTCATTTTGTTCTTGAGCTCTTGTCAGCCTCAAACATAGTGTACTTTGTTTGACCTATACCGCAAGATGCCTTTTTTAAAGATGATTAATTGTGTTAGAATCAGAATTGTAATCTCTAATCCCAAAGGACAGACTTGTTTTGTAATGAAATAACTTGTGTGTTATGCAAGAATGGTGATAACATATTTTCTATAATCTTCTGAAATACTTGGATATAGTTTATACACGCAGGCATAGATTTCATTATTTTGGACACATTTCAGGGATTACGAATGACAAAGAACCCTTTTATTTTCACTCATCGTTAGTGGTGTGGTTGGGTGCTGCCATTTATTGTCAAATAAATGTGTTTTCTGTTCCCAAATGATAGCATTGAGCCGCTTTGTGGAGCTCTCAAATGTGCTTTTTTCCAAGAAGAATGGGCAGCTTTACCCTCAGAAAGGATAAAGAAAGACATCCACAACTACCACAAAAGACTCCAAGTTGTCATTGATGTTGAAGGGGAAATAATATTTAGAACTGGGGGATAGAAACTTCTGATCAGGGTCATTTCAGAAGATCCTATTGTAACTTTAAAGTAGAAAAACACATTCACATGACAATATATAGCTCCACACAACTACTCAAAATAATCAAATAAGCTGGTTGTGTACGTTTTCAATCACAACGGTATACTTAAAATTAAAAGAGGGAGGTGACATGTGCCTGATGGACATTGAAACCTTACCTGGTTTATAGCTATGTTTTGCTCCCACTTACCCTCATTAAACCAATCGATAAGACAATTCCCCATTAGATGTAGTGAGAAGCTTGTGAGAAGTCATACAGTAGTTCCTAAAAGCAGAGCAGACCTAAATAGCCAAAATATTTCCCATGGTTGTGTCATTCTGACCCTACTCAATCCTAAACTATGCATTCACTTTAAAGTGAGCGAATGCCATTATGAATTTACCAGTCATGGCTCAGCCGCTTTTTCTGACGTGAAGTATAGAGATTTTGGATTTCAATTCTGTGCTCTATTTAACTTGTTATTGTTTTGTATCAGTTTCCGAAAGCCTTCTTGCAGACAAGTTTGACGAATACGGCTACACGTTTATTGCACCAAGGTAAGTCCAAGACTTAGTCCGGTCATGTTCAGTGATAAGCACTGTCTAATTATTATTTATCACTTCACAGGGAATACTGCAAGGACTTGAAGACCCCAGAGAAGGGCGGCAATAACACAGAGTTTTTGATGGAGTTTAACAGTTACATTGATACAAAGACTCCAAACAATCCAATGTGTAAGTCACTCAATTTTGTTTTGCTGTATCTTTTTGGATACAAATAATATGAGGTAATATCTTTCAAGCCGGAGTACTTATAAGGACTGTATGTAATAATGTATTTTTAAATTACATCCACATCTTTATTAGAATTATTCTTGACCATAATATACTGTATATGTTGGTTTTGGCAAAAAAAAAAAAAGAAGAAAAAAAAGAACAACACATATTTAAATGATACATTTGTACTGTTTCTCCTACTAAACTCAAAAATGTCCCTGTCAAGGGATTTTGATGAAAGATTTTGCAACAGAAATAGTCTTGTTTTACGGTCTTAATCTTGTCTTAATATTTTACTTTGACATGGTTCTGAAGTGGATCCAAAGATGTGACAAAGGCCAAAAATACATAAAAGTAAAAACTACTGGTAGTCATAGATAAAACAAATCAAATCGTTTTGAGAGCTAGGAACTAGTTACATGGATTTTTTTGCATTGTTGATTTGTGTTTATGTTTTCAGTGTTAGACATCTCAGCTTTAGATATGTTTTATTAAGACTGCTCGGATATTGGGGCTAACTATGTGTTTAAATACCGGACTTCTTAACATGTGGTGAATATAAAAAAGTTATGTATTTCTTGTATCTTTATTCCGGTAATATTAATTACTGGGGTGTTAGCTATTTTACCCGATGTATCTGAAAGTAATATAGACATCTGGTTTCACATTTAGACATGCATTGGAGCTGTAATGGACTACAGCCAAACGATTCTCATGGGTGACTTGTTGCAGTGAAATGTGGGTCTGTTTGGGTGGTTTGGTGTGCATGACCAGGCAAAGACTTGTTACATAGAAATATCCCATTTGATGCAAGAGTTGAAAGTTGAACCATCACATGGCTGGGTGCACATGTGCTTAGATGTAACACACAAGTATTCACGCCTAATACGCCATCCACACTCTGCCTATGGTTGCTCGACTCGATCCAATTACGGTGTGTTTGTGAGAAAGAGCAGGACACGTCAGGGAAAGAGTTGGAGTGGACCAATAAAACACTAATCAGGGACCACTTGCTCGCGCTTTTAACATTTGACCTGTGCATTATGTCCTTAATACAATGCTTCTCATTATAATACAATACCCATGGACAAAGGACAATACATCTGTTATTACCTTTATCTATCCTTGATTTGATTTAAAACTGAAGTTCAACTGTATGTCATGTTTGAAAGAATGTTTTGGATCATATTTATGGCCATGGTCTATCATGTAAAATCCTTCTTAATTTTTTTCATTCATTCATTCATGAAATTGATTCCTGTTGTCCCATCATTCACATTTTCACAAGGATTACACTTGGACCAATGACATGTGTCCTGTGGTGAGAAGGTGTGTCTGTGTTTGGTCCACTCAGAGTGAAAGGGAAGGGGACATGGGTGAAATTAAATCTTTCTTTTTAGCAATTACCATACTTTAGCCACAAGGGGACAGTAGTTGGGCCACATCCAGATGCTATGATATAAAAAAATAATATGTCATACAAAATCAACTTTCATATCATCAGTTATCAAAATGTTAACATTCGTATTGTAGTTACAATAAAGAAATGTAATAAGTGGCAGCTGGGGGAGGGGATTCCGCTGAATTAACAGAAAAAGGCCTTGTCCGAGGTTTAGAGAAGCCCAGGGCCTAGATGGAAAAGTACGGCCTTGTTAGAATGATGGGTTTAACTTTAACCACAGTTGCTTTAAAGTCCCCCTTTTGGTTTATCAGGATCAATAAGCAGCAACATAACATCATCCCTCAAAAACTAAAAATACATCAAAAACTCAGATCTTTAATAAAACTCATCAACAATCTTCAGTAAAATACCAAACTTCCTCAGTTCATTGGGTGGTTCTCAGATATTGCTTTGAAAACAGTCTCTCCCGCTTTCCGTGTTGATTTCTTCTTCAGGATGCCCTGAATTCTTCTGTGATGTTTCTTTCAATCACACAGCTTTACTGTCCAAATTCAACAATCCAAATTGTTCCAAATTCTGTCCATGCAAAGAGGACGATGGTACTGTCCATTTCTCAGCAGCTCACAGCAGGCCTGATTGGTATGAGGGGCTGTGAAGATTGTTCAAGTGTGCTGATCCAGATGTATGGTTTCTCTTGAGGTTTTTAAGTTTTGTCCTGAAAGCTAACATTCTGCAGATGTTAGCTGCGTAGCCTGCGTAGGTTTCCTCTGGGTGCTCCCGTTGAATCCAATATCCAATATGAATGAATGGGTTGTGGTGGTCTGGGGCTTTGATGTGCCTCTGTCGTATCTGACACAAGAGAGACAAGACAACATTCTGTGGGGTGGTAATGCTTTTTATTCTAACTGATGATTAGGGATGATAATTGTTTTAACAAATTGTCCTTTTTGCATATAATAATAGATGAGAATAATCTACATGTTTGCAAATGTTTGAAAAGTGTGCACAGATGCTAACACTTTTTGACAGCCCTTAGCTTAGAGGAAAATAAAAACACATTAAAGCAACCTATAAAACCACAAACTCAATATTATTTTTGCCATGATTAGCTGCCAGTTTAACGGAGTCCACAGTGAAAAAAACTGAGTGGTTACATTAGGCCCATGTGGGCAGTTTGGGGCCTCATGTATTGTTACACTTTTTACTTGGTTAAGCCACTGCAGAAGTTATAAGTACATTAGGAATTTGTGGGCTGCCTTCAATAAAGATATCCTTAATGAAAACCATGGCAAGCGCTGTGTAGGTGGTGTGGCGATGAATAAAGTGTTAGAGCAGCTGTTCTCTCTGATGTGTGTGGTGTGTTATAAAGATCGGGAAGGTGGTGGAGGGATCAACGAGCCTGAATGTTAATGGACTGGAGAAAGTTGTCAGAGAGTTCAAAGTGGCTGCGCACTGCAAAGCAATGCACCAGTGCCTTTTATCACCTGTTATGTTTGTCATGTGGTCATGTCAGACATCTTGGAAAATTGTTTTTTTTGTTACATCCAGCCTAACCTAACCCCCTCAAATGAATAAAAGAGTCAATTCATTCATCTGGATTCACTATGAAATGTATTTCTATTTGTGTTTGTGTTCCTGTTTAGGTAATGTTGAATTGGTGAACCGACTGCTTTTGGACGCTGGCATCACTTCTGCTCTTGTTAAGATTTGGAAAGATACGCCAATGCCGTACGTAACATACCTTTATTGTTTTACGATTAGAATAATTAGAATAGGTAACTACAACTTAATTCTTGTATATTCATTGTTGGGTTGAATACTTGAAAATGTATTCCATTCCAGAATACTAAATACATTACTTAAAATGTATTTTGTAGTATCCTGTTACATTGGAAAAAGTAGTACCTGTATTCTGAATACTTAGAATACTTTTATTTATACTTTTAATTATTATTTTTGTATTAATATTTATTGTAAATGAATGTTTATTTACAAAACATCCATCCATCCATTTTCTACCCCTTAATCCATTTCTGGGTCGGGGGGTGGCAATCAGAGCTGTACCCAGTACACTAAGCAACAGCCCCTCACTGGGGCTGCTATGGTATAGCCTTGATCTTTCAGCAGGGGCTTCAGGCAAAGTGGGGTTAGGTGTCTTGCCCAAGGACACAACGAAAGGCAGTCATCTGTGGGAGTCGGTGGAGAAGGTCTCATGGTTGGCTTGAACCCACGACCTTCAGGCTCAAAGGCCAATCCTCTACCAACTGAGCCACAATATTGCATAATACATCACAAAACTTATAAATATTTAAAACCACAATAAACTGTTAACAAAATGTAACCTGTTCTGTAATTATTTGATAATGTGTTGTTTCTTTTAGTAAAACGAGTCCAAGTGCTTCAACAGCAACCGGAAAAAATAGAATCTTCACTTTAATGTTTCCTCTTTTTTTACCTTAAAACTTAATGTGAGAAAGTATGTATTCCTGTGATTCTATGATTTTCAGAAAGTAACTATTCTAAATACTAGAGTTTGAAGTAGTAATTGTAAGGAAACACAGTTACAGAAAGAGTATTCTGAATACGTAATGGCTTTACACGTGTTCTGTTAGTCCCCAACTCTGTGTACACTGCACTACTTTTCCAGACAGGTCACTTACTGTGTATGTTGTTCTTTAGGAATGGAGTGACGGCCAGATTTGTGGCCACTGACGGAGGCATCACAAGAGTCTATCCAAAAAAGTACATTTTGCATTCATATTATTAGATAAATGTATTTAAATCTGATGCCATTGTGTATTATATTTACAACATAATTGTGTTTGGCAGTGCTGGTCTTAGCTGGAAGGAGGAAGCAGAGACCTATGAGTCTAGTTTCTATAAGAGAAGTTTGGACAACGATCTATATATTTTTACTCCAACGCCTTACATTGATCGAGAAAATTGTACGATGAACCTTATGCACATTTTTCCTATACTTATTTACTGTGTATTAAAACTGTATTTTTGCATATTTCCTACAGCAAGTGATGACACTATCCTTGTGAGCAGAGCAGTGGACCTTAATCTTAAAAATATCACAGTCAAACCAGCTGGTAAGGTCATTGAAAGGAACCTGCGACTTTGTGTCACTAATCAAATCACATATTTGTTTTGTCATGTTGTCATCAACATTTGCTACCCTGAGGCTTTAACCTTTTTACACATGCACCTGACACACACCAGGGACTTGGCCTTTACAGTTAGAGAAGCCGTTTGTCAGTTTCTCGCTCTCACTCCGACATATGCACACAAACAAACGCATACTAACCACACTTCACATTGTCCACTGGTCTGTGATGTTGCGCCAAGTTAGCATTCGCAGAGTTCAAAGAGTAAAGTTGAGTCCGGGGTTGGCTGTGATCTAGGATGTCTGCTCTCTGTTTGATCACAGTGGTTGGAGTGAAGTTGGACATCTATACCTGGATGTCCACTTTCATTAACACAACACAGAGACTTAACGTGAGTACTTTTCCTTCAGTATTTGACTGTGACCTATTATTCATTTTAAACTATATGTTTATGGTGCATTTATAGTGCAATGATGAGATTTGTGGGTGCCAAAGAAACGATGAGGTAAATATGTCCTCTTTATTGTTACTTATATCCACACAAATGCACGTTTAGCAATAATGCTATGTTATTGTGTTCCAGTACGTAGACTGCGTCATTCTTGATGATGGGGGATTCGTGGTGATGTCTAACAGAGACACGTACACTGATAAAGTATGTACATTTTTTTACATTCTATAGTTACAAACTGTCAACTATCTTTATATTTCCCAATGATCTGTGGCTCATTAAAGAAACATTATGAAATTCAACCTAGGTAGTCTAAGGGGAGACTGGACAATATCTTGTAATCAGTATTAAATGCAAATCAAACTGTCACACATGTCTTAGGCAGTGATTTGCTGGAGCTATTATGTTTCAGCGGTGGTATAATTGTATCAGGAACCCCCTGTTTGACATACAGTAAGTGTGCACAATTTCCCTGTTGCCCCATGTTAAACGTTGAGTTGGGCCCCCGCTGGTGTCTGAGTAAATGTTTTTTCATGCTGCGGCTCCTTCCTAATCAGAGCTGGGTGTGCGCTGGATAAATCAGTCCCTCTGATGTTTGGCAGAAGCACTAAAACCCAGGGAACTGAGGCCGTGTTTGGAGAAGGCAGTGTGCCCTCAATCATATTTCCTACAGGAGCAAAGTTTCTGCTTTGCTACAAGCTTCTCGCTTACTCTTCTCTCTGCAGCCCATTCTTTCCTTTCCTAGAAGCCCTCAGGGAGTCTGCAGTAAGGCTTGTGACTGCTGATTCATTATTTGCGTTATTGCACAGGGAATTGCGAGAAGTCTCCCTTTACCTTATAGATTGGCCAATTTATATATGTTTTGGTGCGACTAAAGATGATGGGTTGTTAGCAGTGACCTTAAGTGGAAAGACGGGGTGCATTACACTTCCTCTGCTCACAAGTGCAGACACATATCTCCAGCTCACACACCTCGATGAGTGCTGCTTTTTACCTCATATCTCACACCCTCCCTTTCGAGAGACAAGTACTTCAACACTCCCTTCTCAACTTGTGTCACGCCAAAACCACCAGATAAACATTTTTGTTTAACCGTGTTTCCTCAGTTTTACTGGATGACTTTCACAGCTTTCAATCAAACTGTGGCCATGTCTGAAAGCGCCTATAGCTTTGTAGCAAATTGAAAGCAAGCGCTATTTTTAAACCACACACATACGATCATGAATAATTTCCTCAAAGGTTTGACACTTTTGAGTGTTCATGCCAGAAAACGCTGTGCAGGCTTTTTTCTTAGATCTATGAACTACTGTATCTTGACTGTGTACATCTTTGTGGTGTATTGTTGGTGTTATAGATTGGAAAATTCTTTGGTGTTGTTGATCCTATCCTGATGGTGAGCCTCGTGAACTCTTCGTTATTCACCTCTAAGAAGACATTCGACTATCAGTCTCTTTGTGACCCAGTGAAGGATACTAAAGCTGCTGCTGGCCTGCGCTCTGTCTATGTGGTGAGTTAAAGAAAACATTGTTGAACTTTTGACAATGTTACAACATCAAAATGAGGCTGGAGTGGTTTTAGTTCCATCTGCGCTAATATCAGAATGTTCTGACTCAAACGTGTAACTCTGGCCTGTGTTAAAGCTCATGTCCCAAATGTATCTGGTTCTGCTGGTATTGAACCAAATAAAAAGACAATATTAACCTCTAGACTAAAAAATCTCAGTCTTTCATTAGTATGATGTAATTATACCAAAATAAATTTACACTCAGAGCTGTTTTCTGGTTTTTAAAATAAAAATTGCCCATAAATTAGGTTTTTTTATATGTCGTTCTTTATAATGTCATTACCGTATTTACAGCTGTTAATTCCCCCCCCCCCCCCCCCCCCCCCCACCCCCCCCCCCCCCCCCCCCCCCCAAAAAAAACTCTCCCGCCCTCTGGTGGTGGCATTGAGAGTTTACAGGCATTAAGCATTGTTTATTCTTCATGTTGACCTGATGTTTGACCACATTTGACCATATGTTTTATACTTAATTTATGATTTCTCGTTCTAAAACATGACATTTTAAAGAAGGTAAATTGTATTTACATTTTTAACGGGAAAAACAATGCGAACAAGCCACCATATTGAATATTCAAGATGTTGATTCATATAAAGACTATAATCTAAGGAATGCAAACTGATCACCATCACTCATATACATAACTATGGTCCCTCTCTGGTGAACTATAAATCCCAGATTTAGCAGATAAGCTCAAGGGATAGTGAAAGCCACTGGGAGAACATCTGTAACAGTAATAGGATTAGGTGGTCCCACGTACTTAGCCAGCACACAAAGTCAATGTAATGTGCTGTTTTTCATCACTTCCAAAAAAAAATTGGCTGCAGGCGTCTAGTGATAATGATACTGAAGACATACAGAAAGCATAGTGCATGTACTGGGGCCAAAGTGAGGCCTCCAATAGGAAGAAAAAGAGAGTAGAGTAGAGAAGCAGTTCACAGGTCCTTATTTCCCCAGCACTAATTGACAGCAGTAACCACGTAATTTACTGACTTGCAATACATGTACAAAACACGCTCTCTTGGCTAAAGTGTGATGAAAGATGAAGATATGTGTAATCAAAAGCCTGGTGAACGCTGACTTTAACACAATACAGACTCCTGATGACTCAACCGCCGCACCGACAGTAGAAAGCTGAAAATTCACCAAAACAAGGGCCCTTAGCATCTAAACCATATCAAAGCAACCAATGTCAGACCTGTTGTTAGCCTGTGGCTTTATATGCATGCATATGTACGTTGTGTTTACAGCCTTTTATGATTAGTAGCTGGTTTATTAAGCCATTGTCACAACTGAGTTTTTTTTTTTTTTTTAGTTCTGTAATGGATTTAAAATGTGCATCTTTTTCAGCCCACCATTGCAGATATCCTGAGTGTTGGTTGGTGGGTGAGTGCTGCCGCTTGGTGAGTAAACTTTTGAACCATTGTAAAAGGCTTTACCAAGTGTGGCAAGCAATGAATGATAATATATTGTGATTAATTGTGTGATTGAATTACATTAATGATTCATTTCTTATTCTAGGTCAATGCTGCAGCAGCTATTAGTCAGCATTACATTGCCTTCCTATCTAGATGCGGGTAAGTCCCAAAATCTCTCGTTTAATATTTATTACGCTATCCATACGATGCTGCACGCACAGGTGTCACTCTGCGCTTCCATGCCTTAAGTGTGATATCCGACCCACCTGTCCATCATCTTTTATTTGAAATGAAGATTGATTAATGCATGTGTAATTCCTAGCTGAAGCGGAGATAACTATCGGATCCATGCCTCAAAGAAGGGTGTATCACAGAGCAAACGCAAGTAAATGTTTTGACTCATCCAACCTGTCACTTCAGAGGCAACAGTGGGACTTGAAAACTGCTCCAGGTAAGAAGGTTACATAAATCCTCTCAAACAAGGAACATTAGGAAACAAACAGAGCTGTGTGATGTGAGGCCTCTCAAACGTCCTCCCAAGAGGTGCCACTCAGAAAAAGTTATAAAAGTTCACATGCCATAAAGGTGAAGTCAATTCACTTGTATGGACCACCGTCCTGGCATGGTGCACATATGGCTTAGGTACTCTTTTAAGGTCCTATAACCCAGCCTGCCGCGCTACGCGGACAGGACGCAATACACAAGACTCTTCGCGAGCGCATCTATTATCATCGGCGACACTGCCGTGGCACATTGAGCTGACCACTCATCAATAATTGTTAATTTTTTCAGTTATGATGAATTGAATTATCTTCGTTGTAGTCTTTTGTATGCATCAAGATTTCAAAGAATTGTGGGCTTATTCCTGACCAGTCATGCAGCCGAAGGACCAAATCCTTGTGAAATTGCCAAGAATCCTCGCTACAGGAAAGGCCCTGAATTGTGCTTTGATAAAAATGAGAGCGTAAGTACAGTACACCACTGCCTCTGGTTAAGAGCTATTTTAAAGTTTCACTTGCTTCTGATCTACGGTAGAGTTACTTGGGGGAGGGGGGGGGGTATATTTGCTCTGGCTTATTGCCAGGGCTGGCTGGGAAAAGGGAGGACTCTTTATTCTGTATTGCCCCAAAGAGAATAAAAAGAATTTGGCAGAAAATCTAGAATGTTAGAATCAGAGAACCTTCTGCCAATTAAAATAGGTGCCTTGAGGCTACTGTGTGTATGTGTGTGCGTGCTTTATCCCTAGATATTTATCCTATACACTTACTATAACCCACAACACAAGGTTTGTGACCATGGTGACATAAATGTTAGAAATATAGAGCAGAGCAGTATGTCGGAATGAACAGAATAAAATTGTGTGGGTTTTGAGGCAACTATTACCTCTGCCACAGGGTTATGTTTTCACCAGGGTTTGTTTATTCTCTGTCTGATTGTAGCATAACTGAAAACGGTTGGAGATAATGGGGCATGGAACAATGACAACAATCCGAATCACCACAAATTCAGTATTTTTTAAAGGAATAGAAGTGCACCTTTTGGCAGAGGTCTGCATTAATGTCATGTGAAGCATCAAAGGGGCTTCACATGACATTATTAATTCACTCCATGCACTTAGCCTGGCATGGTGCACATATGGCTTATGTACTTTTTAAGGTCCCCTCGTGCCGGCTGATAGAGTGTCTGTAAATCCATCCCATTTTCACTCATTGCAAGAGTCGGGTTAAGTCCCATTTCTGTTTCCACAATAGAGATCTGTGTTTGGTGAGATTTGAGCTGATATTCCAGAGCACAACAGCCGTCGCAGGCGTTTCTCCGTCTCTTTCGTCCAGACACAATTGAAATTGATAAATTCCACAAAGCTGAAGTGCGTTTTGTAGGGAAAAAAACATGTAAATAAAATGATTAAAGGAGAACAAAAATGTAAATAAAATGATTAAAGGAGATTAAAAGGTGAAGCAAGCACAGAGCAGAGAGATGCACGACTGCTCTCTTCAGAAGCAGGAAGCAGTAATCACATTAGTAATAAGTCCATGTCCTGCTTAGCTCCTGACTGAGAGGATTGTGCGTTTCACTGCAAATGCTTTAAAGGCTTGTTGAGGTTTTTCAAAGAGCAACAGTAAAGATACTATTCCTTCACTCTATGCTCTGTGGAGACTGAAGCAAGGCTCCATTCTGTGCCTTTCAAGTCTGAGCACCACCTTCACTCACTCACTACATTCATACTGTTGCTGTTTGGGGAAACCGGAGCGCCTGGAGGAAACTCACCAAGATACGGGGAGGCACATACATAACTATGCAAAGAAAGGCCTGAGCAGCCAACACTCGAAACTTGAATATATAATATCCATGTAAGCCAAAACTTTAATTAGTGGGTTAATGTTGTTTTTCTGAGCCACAGTTTAGTTGTGAAATCCTACTCTTGACATTTTCACTTTGAGCATGTTATTTTTATAGGAATTCCCCACACAGAAGCAAACATTCATCAGTAGCCATTTATGAAAATCTTATATAAATAAACATGTTCTGGGAGTCTGTGTGTGAAATTCCTTCTCTGTTCTGCTATTTGCTTTTCTATTCTAATCCTTTCTTGTCTGGTCTGAATGTGTTCTTTCTAACCCTTGTGCCTCTTGTGACTCGACTAACTCTGATACTTCTGTTTGCTGCACGATTCTCTTCTCTTTTCTCTATGTTCTGCTCTATGATTGGCTGTTGGTATTTAGGATGAGGTCATTTGTCGGCGGAGCGCAGGCTCCTCGTTGGCCTCTTCTCTGCTCATGTTACTGCTGCCACTGTTCATGTGCTGTCTCGGGTCAGTTCCATAACACTAGCACTCTTTTTCATGATTAACATTTGATCATTATCAGTCACTCAACTTCAAAGCTTGTTTTTGATTTTCCTTTCTTTCTTCCTATATCCTTGTGAATGTGTCTTTGTCTAACTCTCCATTCTGTCCTTCCTGTAGCTTTTAACTCACCATGCCTCATTAATTCACTGGCTAACATTTTCTCCTGACTTTGATCCTTCTGTATCTCTGCCCATCTATCACGTCTCATGCAATCCACCAGAATCCACATCTCGGCTGACGTCCGATTCGCAGTTCAGCCACACATTTGTTTAAACTGAAGAATCACTTTCTATTTGCATCCAGACCTCTGTACATCTCTCTAACCGGTCTCGACATTTTTGTTCCTTTCCAAAAATTATGAAGGCCAGACCTTTCGTTTTCGACCTCACCAGATGTTAAGCGTTCAGAGTGGTTCTTTTGTAGAGACATAATGTTCCAATAAAAATTCAAATAGACAGTTGTTTAATCTCCTTTCAGAAGTGTTTATTGCCAATCAGTAACTTCTATATCTGTGCTGGCTCCAGGAGAAGGACGCTGACTGTGGAGCGGCCTCCAGCCTGAGTCCCTCCTTGTGGCTCATGGCGGCCGTGCAACTGGCGCTGCTCTGGGCTCTGAGCTCCAGGAGAGACACTGTCCCATCGTGACCTTATTGTGACATCCCATTACTACTCTTCACCCAAGCGGACTCTCAGCGGGCAACGCTGCTACACAAGTGAAGACACAACAAACAATCACATCTTTTTAGATGCTTTCAGAGGGTATAACAGAGATAACCTGCCGGATTGTTTGAGAACTGAGCTAAAGCTATGCTCCATCTTTCAAGTCCCCCCTGCCCTCTGAGATTAGAGGAATCCAGTTTCATTTTTAGCTTGGACCATAATTTTATCAAAGAAAAACATGGGACTGCCTTATGTTTTAGTAGGCTTTTTTTTTTACAAATGGTGGTAACATTAGTTTGCTTAAAGCTGGGGCACTTAATGTGTGTGTTTCATAAATAATCCATGTTTGTTATCCCAACAGAAAGAATAAAAGTAAAATGATATGAACAAATCAGACCACAACATACGGTCTTCATCTTATTCGAAAACATAAACGTCATATTTTGGGTTGAGAGCTGATTGAGGGTGGTTCTCACTTTTTCACTTTTCTGTCTGAAAAAGCTGATCTAAAGGTGTGGCAGAGGCCAAAAGTCCTTGCGAAACTGTTTTAAAGCCAGGAACTACTTGGATTGTATTACCATTTTTTGTGGTTTGAGAGTTACGTTCCCCAGTTTTAAGATTCTAAACGGTTTACTCACCCATTTGGAAGCTTCTGTATTTATTATATTGTGTTCAAATGTTTTTATTTATTTCAACTCATTTTTTTTGGGTTAATTAACATACAATGAGGGAATCCAAATTGTGATATTGCAATCTTAATTTGTGGAGAAAAAAAAACGGCCAATCAACCCTCCAACTGCCACAGGCCAATTTGATCTGGATACTCACAAAAAATCTGTTTATCAATTATTGACGTTTTTTCTGCCATTTGTGACGCTGCTCAGTTTGGACCTGGCCTGTAACGCCTGCTCAGTGGACTAAACTCTCTTGTGCCATGTAGACGGTGTGACTCGGATAAACGTCTTAGCCTGAAGCTAATGGACGGAAGAGTCTGTTATTCACTTTTAAAATGAAGCTGTTGTGATGCTTGACTGCCACATTTTCTGCATACGATTTTATTCGTTTTGTTTGGGTTTAATATTATTGTGACTGACCTATATTGTTTCACCACTAACTAACCCTTTCTGTCGTTATTGTACTGTTTATCATTTTCTTGTTTTTGTAAGCATATGATGTCAAGTCAAGTGAAGGGTTTAAAGAAATGGGATGTTTTAAAGAAGGATTTAGATACACTAACACTTTTAAAAAGCCAAATCTAACCTGGATCCTTTTCCCTTCTGAGTAAATGGGTTTTTTCTACGATTCAGACAAAAATGAACCCCTTACCGGATTTGTCTAACTATATTCAGGAATGGATTTACTTATCTTTTAGTCTGCGTATTTTTTAATTAACTTAATATAGATTTTTGTTCTGAATAAAATAGACAATCGGTGTTCCGTTGCTTTTTCCCATAAATTATGACTATTTCAAGAAAGTGGTACTGCATTTCACGTACAGAAATGTAGAGCTGCCATTGAGGATTACGTACAACTATCCGGATTTCTCGTTATAACTAAAGTTTGTTGTTGTTAAAACATAATCCTTTCACGTTATAAAGAGACACCATTTTTGTTTTAGCTCAATAACATTTAGGTTCGTGATTCTGGCTGGAAGACCGAGCTTTGGTGTTCTTATTTCACACCCCTTTTGTTGGAGAAAAGAGATCAAAGGCTCAGATAGAACACTGCCAGCTCGGATATTTGACATGAACATTTGTTTTGGTGTTGCTATTTTTTAGGAATACCTGAACAAATAAAAAAAAACGAATGCCTGAAGAATGTTAAACCACACAGGCAGTTCTATGTTTTCATACTCATACATTTTCAGTAGTTAAATGAAGAATAATTGTGTTTATTATTTATTCAAAAAAAAATTAAGATTAAAGTCAGACTATGTAGCATATATTACACACCAACAATTTCAGGTTGTCATGTTGTCTGTGTGCAGTTTTACAGCTATATTCTAACAATGTGGTGAAACTAACAATGCTTTTTGTGCTAATTATTAAATAATAGACATAATATCAAGTGCCATATAGGACTCTTTTGGAGAAACCTATATCCTAATATTTATGCAATGCTATACCAAGGCAAGATGTAAGTTTTCCTGTGCTGCATGATTGTGGCTGGAGTCAAAACTAAAACTCACATATGGCATATTCTCTGTCTGTAGAGTATGATGGAGGAAGACTATCTCCTGAGTGTCTGGCATTTCTATGATACATATGGTATGGTCAGCTCTTACTGCCTTTCTCTTGAGGAGACAGCATTTGGCTCATCCCTACTCAAGGGGTGGGCCCGATCGCACCTTGTTTTGTCGTATGCACTATTCTCATATTTGAGCCATGATCTATTTGCCTGGGTGTAGTGAAAATACATTCAAGACCATACTAGTGATTTCACATGGGTAACATTTTGCCAAACGGCGAAATGTCTCAATGGTGAAAACCGAAAGTGTACATACACTGTATCATATCATTAACACCATATTGAGAGGGGTTATTTTTAAGTCAAACATTAATTTGTCTTTTAATAACTACATTTGGCGGGAAAGGCAGGAAGCAAAAAAATCTTCTAGCTTTGCAGAATGTAATTTGAATGTTTCTGAAAAATAACCTCTCTAAAAGTGTCATTGGTCAATTATAAATAACTGAAATCAGTTATTAAATACAGACAGTGAGAAAACATGTCTGATGCATGTAGACTTCCGGTTTACATTATTCATTCTAATGTTCATTAGAAAATTTGCATGCAGATGGAAAGGAAACACACCTTCTCTGATGTCTGGTATCTTTGATACCAGGTGAGACTCCAAAGATCCAAAAATAACATTATGTCTCACTGATAGTGTGCAAAGTGCTCCTAAGAACATGCAAATATCACAGATGACACGGACTGCATTATATGGATCAATGACAAAGCACACACTGTACATTGTAGTCATAACTTCAAACATGTCAAATGCCGGTATGGTCCACTAATTGAGAATGCATGGGTATTTATGGTATTAATGGCCAAAAAGCTGCAGTTAATATTGATACTCCATGGCTTTACTAAGAAAACATTGGTGAGCATGTACTGTTCTGCTCGTAAGTGCTCCAATCAGATGCTGCCACCTCAGGAAAAACCTCCTTCTCAGTGTGATTTGATGTGTTCTTTATAATGTTGGTGCTCTGTTTTGACTGTGTGGATTGCCTTTTATTTATGAAATCTTTGAGATTGCTTAGTGCGTGTTTACTTTGTTTCTGTTACCTTGGATTGGCAGACATGTCAGTCATTTTCTCTGCCTTGATATTTGAAGGCAGTCTGTGGATGAAGGAGTCCACTGTCCCTGATTGTGCTTTAAAAGTCATATAAGAAAAAAAGAACATTAACACAATGCTGTTCATCAAAAAAAAAAGTTTCTAATTCTGGGAGGGAATTGTGTTGTGAGACTAAGTTATATTCAAAATAAAGTTTATGATTATTATTTAAATGCATCTTTTCTGTCTATGGTTGTTCCTAAAACAGTTTCTCATTCATTCATTCATGCAACAAGTTCTTGCCTACAGTAGACATTTCAAATGATTCAAGCATTCATAAAACGGTGTTTGTGGTTCACCTTTCTTTATGAAATGTGTAAATGAAAGAGGTTCCAAATGTAAATTTTTTCCTCGAAAATGTTACCCTTCATCAAAACATCTTAAACTTTGAAATATACTGACTCAATTTTGATTTCTGGACGGAATGTTATTTGTTTTTTTGTTTTGGTTTGAGCACTTAGGTTTCACAGATTAAAATGAATCCAATGTGTGTAAGAAGAAAAAGAAGCGTCTCTCTGCTCTCCAGCCAACATCAGTTCTGAAAATGGGCCAAAGTCAGCAGTGTCCTGCCGCAAAGCCAGGGCCGCCAGAGGTCCGCAACATTAGGTTTGGCTAAAGAACTTATCCATTAACAATGACCAGTATCTCCCTTGGCTCATAAATTGACTGTAATTTCTCCTCTCCCTGCAGTATGTTGATTAAATGGTAAGTGACTTTCTCGTTTGTGCAGCCTTCTTTACACGAACCTAAAACCATCTGTGCTCAGCGCCAGATTCCTACGGCCCTAAAGTCAATCGGCAGGCTCATTTTACCCTTTGCTTACTTTATTATAGACATTAAAATCATGGCCTTTGGTTCTGCTCGAGTCCCTATGAGTGGCAGAAAAAGGGCTAAATCCCTCAGCTGCTTAGGGACACTTTATACAGCACCAATTATAGCATTTTTATTATTCATTTCAAATGTTAAATATGTTTTATTGTAGGTAGCACATCTGGTGAACAACTGTATATGTGTACGATGGCTTGAAAAAAAAATCATATTTCATGCATCTTTTCACATCATGACCATACAACTTTTTGAAAGTAAGTAAGTAATCTTTTTTTATATACCGCCTTTTACAGACCAGAGTCACAAAGCGGTTTACAATGGGCTCTATGCACGCTCCACTTCCGTGTTTTAGATACTTCCCCACTTCACTTCCTGTTCGCGGGAAATGGCTTGAGTTTCACTGGAGTTCAGCAGTGGTTTACATGAGTTTCCCAAATAATGCTCAAATGGGAATTAAACTGTGAGGATACTGGGCATTTTTGGGACACAGCAGTGCTCTTTGATTGTGCTGTCATTGTGTTTTTATAAAGTTTACAAATCTCTCTGAGTGGCCACAGTCAAAGCTCTACCTCAGAGAGAAAGCACAGTGACACTTTTGGGTCAGTCTCACAGCTGAATGTATCAATCTAATTACTAAAAAACGTCACTAAAACCCACCTAAAAGCCATAGGATAGCATAGGCAGGAAGTGAAAGGGCTGTGCTTTGTTAACAGGAAATGACGTCACGCCTCCCCGTGCATATAGCCCATTGTTATTTTTGAGTATTTGTCCTCTCACTCCACACAGAGATGGGAGCGGGGTCACATGTAGAGGAGG